GGACTCCCAGACTCGTGCACCCCGGCGGGGGCGGGCTCCGTTGGCCAGCTCCCCTGAAAACTGAGGCCACAGCACTCCAGGAGTCGCGCGCAGATGGTCAAGGGCTTTCTCACGCCCGGGCCTCGGGGTCCTTTCCCTCGCCTTCCTTATCCACCAGAGCTCTTCGTAAATTCGGGGACTGGAGTCCTCGAGGCATGTCATCCAAGACGTCTCGGAGAGTCATAGAACCTTCCCCGCCTGACTCGTGGCCCCTTCATTTCTCCCTGACTCTCCCTCGTCCTAGTGTCCAGGTTTCCCCGACCCCTAGTGTCTCTTGCCTCCTTTCTCTCACTCCCCACACTTCCGAGGGCTCTAGGAGGCTTTCTCCTTACCCCAGGGCTCCTCCTGGATTTGGTAACTGAGCCCTGGCTTACCCCTGTTTCTTGGTGTCTCTTGTCTCCACCAGCTGGGTCCCTTTTCTACGATGGGGACCAGGAGCCTGAGAACCTGGCCAGGGCATACTTTGGCTCCAGTTTTCTTGTATCCTACGCCTGACCCAAAGTTGTGGAGAACAGGATACACGGGGCACTTCTGGGCTGAAGCTTCCCAGCATGCTCTGCACTTGACATGGCGCTGGGTAAGGTGGAGATAGAAAGAGGAGGATGGGAAGAGCTGCCCTGACCCCGCTGTGTGACCCCCTTCACAGTCCTTAGCAGTGCTAGCTGCTTACGTCTAACTAAGGTCTACACGCTGGGCTTCTGTGCTAATCCTGTCCTGCAGTCTGCTGGGAAATCAGATTTCTCTAAAGGTTTGGTTGCTTGCTGAGCAGACTAATCTTGGAAAGTTAATATGTTGCTTGTGAACTGATTGCCCTTGGATAAAATGGAATTTTTGACCGCACCCAAGGAAGATTAAATTTGTTTAAATTTGGGGTGGTACATGGACCTGTACTCTGGTATATACTTCTCCAGCTTGAAAACTCGTCTAGTCTGACTCCTAAATCAATACGGGGCTCCTGTCCCTTTCATCCTTATACGTTCAAACTTGTTTGGCACAAAGTTGCCTCTTCTCCACCTCCCACCCCTGGCAGTTTTCCTTTCATTAATCTGACATTAACTGACAACTGTTCTGTTCCCAGGACTGGCTGGGCGTCAGAGCTACAGAAATAAGGAAAAAACAGTCCTTTCACTGGAGGGGCTTGTAGTCTAGTCCAGGAAGCGGACACCAAAGAAATTGCAGTATAATGTAGTGGGTGCAATAAAGAGGAATGTCTAAGAATTGGGGAGTGCACAAAGAGGAAGTGACCTTTGTCCTCAGGGGACAGGGAAAGTATGTCCTGGACATTGAAGCAGAGAAAACAGCACCTGTGCTTTGAAAAGCTAACTGACTATGTGTGTATGAATGCACACTGTCACTTAGAACCCGGTTTATTTCCCTACTCTCCTCACTCTGTCCAAAAATTTATATGAGGTCTGGGTAGACACCTGTAACATGAAGTTCTGCTCACCTTGGTTTTTTGTTTTCTCTTAGCACTTTTATTGAGTTATAATATACAAACCATAAAACTCACCCAATGTAACTGTACAATTTAATGATTTTTAATAAAAGTATGAAGTCGCATAACCCTATTGCAATTTAGAACATTTCCATCACTCCAGTGAGTTCCTTTGTGCTCCTTTACATGAAATCCCCACTCTCACCTCCCGCCCTAGGCAACCGCGAATCTGTGTTCTGTCTCTATAAATTTGCCTCTTCTGGACCTTTTGTATAAATGAAGTCATATCATATGTAGTCTTTTCATTCGGCTTTCCTCAGCATGTTTTTGAGGTTCAGCCAAATTTTGGCGTGTATTAATCCTTCATTCCTTTTTATTACTTAAAAGAATTCCATTGTATGGCTCTTGCTTTTTTATCCTCTGATAATCTTTGCCTCTTGAGTGGGCTGTTTAGACTATTCACATTTAATTTAGTTATCTACGTCTAGATTTACTGTCACTACTTCTTTCACCCTGTGAAAATCAGCCCTGTAGTTCATGCTCTAGATCTCTCAGCTTCTACCCCAGATATCTTCTGATGGTCTACAATATGGGTACGAACTGAATCCTGCCAGTCAGATGCTTTATAAGATTTGGAAGGCAGAAATGCAGTGAGGACCATATTCCTATGGCTATTGGCTATTGTTGCTATCAAGAAAAGTCATGGAACTATGAGATCTTCCTACATCAGTGCTGCAGCGTCCATCCTCCAGCTTCACAGGTTAAGAGGCAGTTTCAGGGACAATGGAAGCTTCTTCTTTCAGCAAGGCTGTGATGGAGGCCTCAGAGACTGGAGCTCACCTATTGGAACAGTTATACATTTTTCCTAGAGACATTTCTGGAAGGCCCAACCTGGTACCTTCAGCCTTTCCAATAATTTTCTAAGTGCCTAATTTCCCCGATCAAACCTGTCCCCTCAGGTAACTGGTAGTTGGATTAGAGTTGCATGTACATATCTGGGCAACAGGAATGCACATTCAGGCTACCTTCCCGGAATTCTGATAATTCATGGAAGTTCTTTTTCCCTCTGTGGACCTTCGCTTACTCCAGCCTCATGAACCTCTCAGATTTTGTGAGTCCAGAATTTAGGAAAGGGTTGGCTGGACAGTTCTGACTCGAGGTTTCTTATGCACTTGCAATCAGATGGTGGCTGGAGCTGGAATAGCAGTGAGATGGGACTTCTGGAGGCTGGCCAGGCATCTCTTTTTCCATGTGGTCTCAGAGTCTCTCCATGTGATTTCATGCGTGGAATAATTAGGACTTCCTCACAGCTTGGGAGAAAACTGCTTACATGGTGACTGCAGACTTTAAGAGCAAATATTCCCAATTTGGTGGATGTTTATAATTTCTGTCTCCTGTGTGGCTCTATGTTGCTTAGTGGTTAGCCAGTGAGTCAGTAAATACCTGGAGCCAGTGAGGTTCAGTCCTCTGCTGTTGGATCTGTGGTTTGGTAGGAAAACACATTCAAAGTTCAGGCCTTTTAAAAAATCATCCCTGGCTTTTACTGTCAGGCGCTTTTTGCATCTCCTCTGTGCATGCGTGCAGCCTCAGAGTTAGCCAGGAGCATGTGGCTAACTTGGGGCCTCTTAGGTCCCCATGGCCACACGGTTTCAGCTACAAACATGACCACAGCCTCGGGCTATAATAGATCCTCTGGCCTGTCCTGCTCACCTGCCTCTGAGACCATCACTTCCACCAACATTATAACTAGATCGGAGTGTTGCCCACCACTTCCACGGGGAAGTTGTTGGTTCTCATATCCTATCTCTTCCTGGTAGAACCTCTGTGCTGACTGAGTGTGGGAAGGGACGAGAGCAGTCCCAGATTCCTGCTGTTCTTAGCCAAATTTCTGCAGGTCTACAAGCATAAATGCTTCCCAGCTTTTTAAGTGCCTTTGGTCAATTTCCAGAGTACTCACGTGGTCTTTTTTGCCAGTTTATTCCAGTCTTACAGTTGCTATGGGGAAAGAGGGTCTCCTCACTCTGCTATAGCTGGAGGTCCCACCCTATGTTCATTTTATATTCAGCTTCACTTTCTCTGCCTGACTTCTAAATTTGGAAGGTCCAAGACTCAGTCCCAGGAACTCTTTCCTTTTGCATCTACATTAGGCATTCTCTTCCAGTCCACAGCTTTAAATATGATTGATACACTGATGATTCTCAATTTGTATCTCCAGCTCTGACCTTTCCCTCAAGCTCCAGGCCTGAATCTCCAACTGACTGCTTGATATCTCTGTCCGTATGTGTGACAGACCACTCATGTTTAATATGGCCAAAGGAAAAGTCTTTCATTTTTCCTCCAAGGCTGTCTTCCAGTTCTCATCTGTTCAGTGCTCAAGTTCAAAATGTAGGCGTTGTCCTTGACTCCTCTCCTTCACCCACTACAACCAATTGAAGAAATTGGATGTCAGATCAACTTCCAGAACATAATTCCTAATCCATCCACTTTGGGGGGGGGCAGAAAAATATGGCATATTTATTCATTTTAATAGCCTCAAAACCAATGGAAATTCTGAATGATTCATGAAGTTAGTCCCAATGATAATTTGAGCTTCTGATATCTCCTTTTGTTAAAGTTATTTCTCTGCTAAACTGTGATCACATGTGGAAATTTAGTTTCAAAACTGCCAGCAAGAGAGAGGTATTCAAAGAAGTTCAGATTTTTTTTCCTATTAGATATCTCTTAATAAAGAAGGCAAATTAGGAAAATAATACCTTTAGAGTACATATAAAACAGAACTGTCTGATTAAAAATGATTTTACTTATCATAATTCTGGTGATCAGCTGAGTGATTAAGTCTGCCTTCCCACGAAGGGCTCTTAATCTTACCAGTCACTATCAAAATGTTGTAAACATATTTCATCAGAAATTTCTGTGTGCTTCCCAGAAGAGATTATACATGATGTCACACACACGCACAAAAAGTCTACCTCATATAAACTTTTTCAGGTTTTAAACAATTTTCTTTCTCTAGCTTCTCTCTCGACAACTCTTGAAGACTGCATCTCCCTGGCATCTCCTACAGAAAATACTTCCTATTGTAAGGCACAGTGTGGGATCTTGTGATTGTTCATAAGAACATTTCTGACTCTCATTTGAAGGCTGAAATTAGACTGAAAACTATTATCAAGGAATAATTTGGATTCCATTTAAAGGAAAATTCAGGTGAAGAGATATCTTAGGCCATGTTGGCAACGATCAGAACCTGTAGACCTAGAGTCTGGCAAGGTGCACCTGACTTTCAGAAGCTGTTTGCAGATGGTCCTGAGGAGGTTAGGAATTTTATACACATTTCTTAGGGACGCCTTGGGATGCTATGGTCTATCGACTCTCTCCACAACTTTCTGCACTTGAAGCCCCTTGACTGCCCCTTTGACCTTGCCAACCCTGTGATAATTGCGTCTGACAGTTAAATGGAGCCTCCTGGCCTTGCTGCTTCAGGCCCCATCATCCCCATGAATATTAACAAGCCAGGCTCCATGACTATCTGTCCTGTCATCCACTTTTCTCATCTCCATTGCCAACCTGCCTAGTCCAGATTTCCATCATTTGTTGCCTGGAGGACTGCAGCCGCCTCCTCCCTGCTCTCTCTGCTTCCATTCCTGTTCCCATAGTCTGCTGACACAACCACCAGGCTAATTTTTTCAAAACATATAATACCTATCTGGCCACCTCTCATTGTGCTGAGAAGAAAATACACAGTTCATACCATGGCTTAGGAGACCTTACAGTTGTTTAGCACGATCTGGTAGGCCTCAAGCTGTCTCTCCAACTTTATTTTCTGCCACTCTTCTCTCTTCATCATACTCTGTTCCCAGCTGTCCTTCCCCTCATTCCTTGCTTATGCCAAACTCGTCCCTGCCTCAGAGACTTGACGCCGTCTCAGGCTGGAGATGCTGTCAGCACTGGAGCGGTGTTTCTCCCAGACCTGGTGGCTGACATCTCCCTAGCATGGTCTTCACTGTCTATCCTGCCCCCATCGCTGTCTCCACTTACTTGGTTTTCATAGCTTTCCTCACGCTCTGTCACTGTCTTGCTCATTTGTTTACTTTGTACTCTGTCTTATTTGTTGACATGGCCCCAGCACTAAGCCCAGAGTGGCACCTAGAAGGCGTTCTGAATCCATGTTTGTGGACTGTGTGAGTGTATTTTTTGAGGCCAAAGAAGTACATTTCATTCATTCAGCAGGTATTTACCAAGCCCCTCCTGTGGGTCAGGCATTTTGTTAGATGCTGGAGACACAAGGTCAAAAATGACGTGATCCTTGCCCTGTTTAGACTTTGGGAGTCAGATTCTGAATATCCTTCAAAGGGAACACAATAAAACAAAATTCTAGCATCTCTAGGCAAAGAGAGGAAGGCTGGAATCTGACTCCTGGGTAACACTTCCCCTCGTGCGCTTTGCATTCTGAGGAGCCTCTTACCTTCCCTTTAAAAAGTTCTGGCCCACATATGTTCACAGACTCACTTCCCTTGGTTTCTCTGAGCACAGCTGGGTTAGCCAAAGTCTGCCACAAAAATCTACCAAACACTGTAGGAGAAAAATGAGAAAATAAACAAGAGACCCTAAGGGGCAGAAATATAGCCAGACAATAGCCCTTCTTCCCAAAAGGGCTGGCGTGAACGAGCTTTAGATCTTGTGGTGTAGGGAGAGGCACCTTAAAAGTTCCCACCGAGAACCTTCCTCCAGGGAGTCTTGACCACTTCTTGGTCCAGAGTAGAAGATAAAAAACACGAGCTTGCTGTCCGCTCCCGGTCCTCTGGGCTCTGCCCCTGCGTAGATGACCGATGTCGTGATAGAACTCATGCCTCGAGCGAGATTTCACTCCCTCCTCAAAAAACAAGGCTTTGTTTTCTAGGCCCAACGATTAAGCCCAGGACAATGCCACGGTTTCCTGCAGTGCGGAGCTTCTGTGGCCCGTTAGATAATTTTGGATGTTTTGAAATCATATCAAGAGCAGTGAGAAAATTATTCCCTTTTCGGTGCTTTCAATCCTTCTGATTCTGCCTGGGGAGACACCGGTCAGCTGCTGCCATGTCTTAACGCCTCTCCTCACAGTTGCCCCTCTGTTGGTTTTTTGTTTGTTTGTTTGTTTTTATTTTTGGGGGGGGGTGGGTGGTTAGGTTTACTCGTTTACTTGTTTTTAGAGAAGGTCCTGGGGATTGAACCCAGGACCTCGTGCATGCTAAGCAGCCACTCTCGTGTTCTTTCCAGGGAGAGCTGCAAGCTTCTCACACCAGCATCAGGCTACAGTTGTTTCATTTTTATTGTATTTATTTTTATTGGCATTTACTTTTTATAGTTTAAAGATTCCTTTTTGAAAGAATTCACTTAGTCAAGAAAGTTGGCTTACATAAAATTATAAAGTAAGTAATAGGTTAGGTGGCATTGGACTCTAGCACGAGTCGTGAAAGCGGCAGGGGAGGGGTGACTGAGGTTCGCTGATCGAACAGCACGGCACTCCCTTCCTCGGTGCCTGCGTTTGAGGCAGGGTTCAAAGACGGTGCTGCTGAGGAAGGCTTTTAACCCAGAGGTTTTCCATTTTCCTCTCTGCAGTGGAGCACATGATCCAGAAGAACCAGTGTCTCTTCACCAACACCCAGTGCAAGGTTTGCTGCGCCTTGCTCATTTCTGAGTCCCAGAAGCTGGCCCACTACCAGGTATGCCCTCGCACCTTTAGAATGGCTTTGTTTTCCAGACCCACTGCCAAGCCCACACTTCTCCCTGGCTTGCATGGTGAAATGAAATTACTTCCTAGCTGTCCAGAAGTTGCCTCCATGCATGTTGGCTGTGACTTGAAGATTGACTTAATTTTTCGGAGTCTCATCTCTCCCACCCAAATCAGGGTCATGATACTTACACGTTCCCTTGCTGTTTGGTGTAACAGAAAGTATATGCTTTGGCTTTAAATAGACCTGTGTTCGAATCAGAACTCTGCTACTCATCTTGGGCAGGAAACCTCACTGTATTCAGCCTCAGTTTCCTTTTCTGTAAAATAGAGATGATGATAATTTTTTTCATAAATTGTTGTGAAATTAGATTTGACAGCATTTAAGTGCCTTGTACAGAGTAGGAACAAAGTAAACTAGGTTTCTCCCCCAACCCTCTCCTCCTCTGATGTTTTTGTGAGGATGAATCAGATGAAAATGTAGTGTTTTTGAGTGCCTTAGCTATGAAATGGCATTTGGCTATATTTGATCTTTTTCCTGGGTTCTTACAGAGCAAAAAACATGCCAACAAAGTGAAGAGATATCTAGCAATCCATGGAATGGAGACATTAAAGGGGGAAACGAAGAAGCTAGACTCAGATCAGGTAATCCAGCTGCCATGTTGAGATCGCTCACTTCCTGATGAAGCCAGCAGGCAGGTTGGTGTGGTGGAAAGAGCGTGGGCTTTGAGTCAGACTGACTTGGCTTCAAATCCCAGCCCATCGTGTGACTTGGGCAAGTCTTCTTACCTCTCCGAGCCTTGATTTCTTCCTCTATAAAATGAGGATGCTAGTATCAACTACCTTTCAGGATTTTTCCAAACTGAAATGAGGGAATGTTTATAAAAAGCAGTCAACACAGGACCTGGCACATAGGAGGGGCTCAGTGAATGGAGCCATTGTTCTGCGTTACACCCAGTGGTTTGACAGAGTGGGACAGCTGTCCATTCCCTACTCCGGAAGAGAAAGTGGAGGAAAAGCCAGGCTGCTTGCTTTCTTGAGACCCAGGCGAAAGAGCTGAAGCACTTGAATGTTGAAATAAACAAGTGGAAGGAACTTTTCCAAATATCTGCTCTGATCAAGATGTAAATGCATTTGCTTTTTGCTTTAGAAGTTCTGTGAGAATTAGGCCAAAACAACCCCAGCCCCTCAAGTGTACCATTATTTTTGTTCCATGGCAGGCTGTGCAGACATCATGGGATGAAAAGCCAGCAGACTGGGTCCCAGTGCTAGCTGTGCAACTTACTGGCTGGGTGCCTTCAGACAAGTCACTTAACCTCTCTGTACTTCACTAAAATGGACATAGTAGTTCCTACGTCTTAAGGGTATTGTGAGGTAAAATGCCAATTTTTAGTGGATGCTCAGTGAGTAAAAGTTTACTCTACAAACTGTGCCTCCCTGTTACAGTGACACCAGGTCTGGAAGGCCTTTGCTCATCCCTTTTTGACATTCACTAGGCTCATCCCCTCGTTGCCTTTCTTATGATGTGAAATTCAGAGAGACAGGGTCAACTCTGTGACCCTGGGCAAGTCACTTCCCCTCTATATCTCTGTTCCTTCAACTCTTGGGGTAGCCCAGTAGTTCAGATGAGAGCATGGGCCCTTCCCCCTCCAACAAAGAAGTACCCAGCCCGAAATGTCAATAGTGCCAAGGCTGAAAAATGCTATCTTAGAATGAATACTTTATTCAGAGATCAGACCTGGGAGAGAGGCTGGGAGCCTTAATATAGGCTTGAAATACATTGTTTTCTAGCCTAATCATAATCATCAAATAAAACCCAGTGACCTGCTTGTTCAGCACACACTGAGCACCTGCTGTGTGCCCGACTCCAGCAGGGCGCTAAGGATAGGAAACAGGTGAGTCCAGCAGTCCACGCCCAAGCATTGCACTTGAGTTCAATGCCACTGTCAGTTTAGGGTGACAAGTGGTAAGATAGGGGTCTATTTAATGCACTCCAGGAATACAAAGGAGGAGCAAGATTGAATCTTCCTGGAATAATCACACAAAGCGGCTTGATAATTGTTCACTGAGTAGTTTTCTTGGGTAGAGTTCTCTCAGAAGAGATATTTAAAATGAGCCTTGAAGGCTAAGCAGACATACGCCAGGCAGGAAGGAAAGGAAATCGTTCTAGGCAGCAGGAACTGCCCACGTAAAACAAGGAAGCAACAGAGAACAAAATGGGGAATGGTGAGTAGAGTGTTGGCTGAACTAGCTGGCGAAGAATCCGGAAAGGTAGGTTGGGGTTAGCGTGTGAAGGGGGCCTTTAGTGCCCATTCTCCTTTGGGCCGTGGGGAACCATTGAAGATTTTCCGGCTGGGCAGTGGCGTGATCAGACCTGTGTTCTTTCTCCTAACCAGAAGAGCAGCAGAAGCAAAGACAAGAACCAGTGCTGCCCCATCTGTAACATGACCTTTTCCTCCCCTGTCGTGGCCCAGTCGCACTACCTGGGGAAGACCCACGCAAAGAACTTAAAGCTGAAGCAGCAATCCACTAAGGTGGAAGGTACTGGTTTTCCTGAGTGGTGCTATATCGGGACCCCTCCCGGCCTCAAGGCACCAATGCCAGGTGCTCCCAGAAATGCTCGCTGGGGCCACAGACTTGGAGAGGTTGAACTGCTTTTGAGAGCCCTTAAAAATATCAAAAGTAGACCCAGCTTCATGAAAATGCAGCCTCAGAGTGGTAGTCATTTAGCCGCCCTTTCTTTGGTTACATCAGTTTTTCTCTATAGAAGCGTCTTAGCCCTGGACTTTTGTCCTGACAAATAATTATGAGTCAGGAGCGCCAAAGTCCTCCAGGACTCACACCGTGAGAGCTTGCTACCTGCTACCTCTCTCACTTAGTTTTTCCCTCCCAGCATCCACCTGCCCTTATTAGTATTCCAAGTTAAAAGCTGAATCGTCTTTTTCGTGTGCTTTAGGTTATGCCCTGCTTACTTTAATCCTCAGAGCTGCCTGTTCTCAAGACAGGGACTTGCCTTTCAAAGCTGAGGACTTCAGTGCTGCCCCTGCTGCCCAGCGAGCTGTGTCTGCAGCTGTCACGAATTCACTCCCAGTGCAGTGACTTCTGAAATAGCCCCCTTTATCTTGTCACCACTGGGCTCAGCCTTCACTTTCGTCTCATTAACTCCTGACTCTCTGGATTTTTGACCTCTGCTAACTACAGTTAGCCAAGACTGAAAGTTCTTTGATCTTTATTTCATTTTCTTCGTGGTAATTTTTGCTTCTCTATTTTGAACCAAAAAGACTATACTATCCATAGTACTTGTCCTTTTTTATATTGTTATGTTATAAAAACAAGACAAGGATGTTTTGGAAAGCTTTGAAAATAGGGTAAAAAGCCACTCATAATTACACCCTCTTATCACACCCAAATCTAGCATTCCTGCTATATAAAACAACAGAATATGGACTTTGAAGCCACAGATGCCAAAGTTTAAATTCTGGCCCTGCTATGTACCATCTGTATGACTTAACTTCTTCATGCCTGAGTTTTCTCACCTGTAAAATGTTGGTAATACTGTCTACTTCATAGGTTGTGAGGATAAAATAATGTGTGTAAAGAGCCTAGGACATAATAGATGCTCAGTAAATGACAGTTCCTGTTGTCAATATTGTCACCGTCATCACGACAGCCAGGGATGGAACCCCACATGAAGTGCAGTGGCTGATCAGGCATCCACCGCCTGGAGCACGTCACTGGCCTTGCTTATGGCTTGTTCGTCACTAAGTTATACTAGCTCTAATTGTTTTTGTTTAAAGTCACTGTTCGTACCATTTATAGTACTCAAAAGATTAAACGCTAGGCTGAGGGAAACTAGCTTAAGAACAGAACTTTATAAAGTCACTTATCTTTCCATAAATGGGAAGATCCCCTGGAATATGCCTGGACCGATGATTCCATATTCAAAAGTTTATTTTTCATCTTTACTTTCAGCCCTTGCCACATAAAGGATATGTTTTTTGATAGTTGTAATTATAGTGCATGTAACATTCATATCCTGCTTTTACTTTTAAGTTAGTAGTTTAGGCACATTTCCATGTTATTATATAAGTTTATAACTGTATTTCTGAGATTAAACATTTTTCTAATGTAAAAGTAATACAAGCATGTTGTAGAAAATATGGAAAATATAGATAAATGGAAAGAAAAATACCCATAATTTTATCAAAGATAACCACTGTTAGCATTTGGAGTACTCTTCCTCCTGTAATCTTTTGTTATATGTACGTGTGTATATCTGTGTGTATGTTTGTTTTATGTATACCTAGATTACATATATGAGCATAGAATCCTTTAACCTTATTGTTTTTATAAAAACAGTGCATACTCATTATTGTTTGATCAGTTCAAACAATGCAAAAGGTACAGAGGAAAGTGAAATATCACCCAAATCCTACCACCAAGAGAGAAACACTATTAATATGTTGGTAACATTTCAAAATACGAGCACAATTTTTTTAAAAATATAAGTACACATATAGATTGCACATATATCTTTTAATAATGATATGGTCATATCGTGTATAATTTTTTATACTCCTTTCATTTAATATAACATTTATATTTCTTCACATTATTAAAAACATTTTCATAAGCATTTTTAATGACTGTAATATCCCATCACACCACATTTATTTAACAGTTCCTCTGAATGGTGAACATTTACATTTCCCCCCCCCCCATTTATATTTATAAGTAACACTACAGCAAACATCCCTGTACAATACTCTTTCAGTGTTTCAGATTGTTTCCTGAGAGAAGACTCCATAGCTCTCCTTTTTATTAAATGTCCATTAAGTGGTTCCTCCAACTTTACTTAACCATTCATCACTGATGCTTCTTTTCTTTTAAAAAATGACCTTTATGTTTTAATGACCATTATTATCTCTCTTCTAATATCAGAAATTTACATTCATTGTAGAAAATTTGGAAAATACAAAAGCACCCTTTTAGTCAATAGTTTTGGCCTTTTTTCTGTACATCACCCGTTAGTTTTTTTTCACTCAGTACCACGTACTGAATATTTTCTCATATTATTAAATATTCTACAACATGTACATTACTTTTCAATTTATTACATTCTGAAACAATGACCAGGGAAAATCAGTGGCCAGGGAAATTGAGATTCCCTATACTGGAAAGCCATTGTGGGAAAAGCCGGCAGGTTTCTTCTGGCTTGCTGAAAATCCTCAAAACTTCCCCCACTGAAGTGGCAAAGGGATGAAAGAGCATCTGTCTGTGAGAGCTGCCGAGCCCTACCCCTCCTCCACCAATGGGGGAGTTTAGGCCACATGTTTAAAGCAGTGGTTTCTAGGTTGACACCATTCCAGCTGTGTGGACTCATTAGTGAGTCATGGCGTCCACTTTACAAGGCCACAGCGCAGCCTGCAGTCAGCATCGGGACATTTGCTGGCCCACAGGAGGCTTACACATGTGCCCATACCCGGCTCTGATTAACTGAATTCATGGGCCAGAGCCAGGGATGCTTTCTGAAGCATGAGCTGTATCCTTCAGGTCTCCCTGCCACACCCCGGCAGCCTGGCATAGCAAAGAGGGCTTGGTATTTAGGATCACACAGACCTGGATTCACTCATTAGCCGGGTGATCCTGGGTAAGTCATTTCACCCATCAGAGCCTCAGTTTTTATCTGTATTGTGGCAAAATGATACCTACCTACCTCATGGCAGAGTTCTGAGGACCAAAAGAGGAAATATATGTACAAAGCTCATAACTAAATGTCAGTGTTATCCTCCTCTCCCCTACTTGGCCTAAAAGGCAGTGTAGCCTAAAAGGCCCCCCTAGTATGGTGCCTTTCCTAGATGACCCTCCAGGCCCTCAGGTTCTGTATCTGTGCATTGGCTTCAAGATCTGTAACGGGGATACATTGAGGATGGGAATAGACACCCAAACTTCTTGTCCTATTTGCTGTGAAGTTCTGGGGGATTCTGAGGGATGGGAAGACTGCAAGCATGTGCATCTCTAATCTGTTGCCATTTGGCAACTTGATGGCAGAAGTGCAGAGCCTCCTCAGAACAGGAGAAGATCAGGACCCACGAGCCTAAAGTAGTTAAAGCTGCCACACAGAGTAGCTGGTCTTCGGGCTCCCCCACATCCTCTCAGTTTTCCCAATTAGAGACGGCTGTGATTCACACAGGCAGCGCCACTCCTGCAAGTGTGGCTAGCTAGTGACCCAGCCTTTCTTTGCGTTCAGCGTACTCGAAAGCCTGGCACCTTCTGGGTTTTTTCATCATTTCTGTTTGAACTCTCTCACCGCAGCTCTGTCGAAACGCCTTACAAACCCTTTCCTTGTGGCCTCCACCTTAGCCTTGCACCAGAATAGAGAGATGATAGATCCAGACAAGTTCTGCAGCCTGTGCCACGCGACTTTCAATGACCCCGTCATGGCTCAGCAACATTATGTGGGCAAGAAACACAGGAAACAGGAGACCAAGCTCAAACTTATGGCGCACTACGGGCGGCTGGCAGACCCCGCTGTCACCGACTCATCGGGTAAGGGGGCCCCGCTCACACCCCGCTCACACCCCACTCCCCGGACCGCCACGGTCACGCTGCTCCTCCTCCAGATTTGAATAAGAATTCTGATTGTGCAACTAAATATTTAAACGTTTAAACCCTCTGTGAGTCAAACCTATCGGCAAGCCAGATTTGGGGCAAAGGCCACCAGTTTGCAACATCTGATTTAAATTCCCTGTCATGCACATTTCTTGTCTGAAGGCCTCAGCAGCCTCTGCCAGATTTTATACTATCCTCAGAATCCTTCTTCTCCCAGCAGCTGAGACTCCCTGGGATGTACCCCCAGGATAGCATGGTGAAGGGGGCCACACATCAAGATTTAGCCCTTGGAATGTCAGTACTAAATGGTGAGGTCAGATTAGAGACAGCAGAAGAAACTGAGAAGGAGCGTCCAGAGGAGAAAAAGCAAGACCGCGGGCATGCGGAAAGCTAAGGGCAGGGAGACTGAAAAGGGAGGGGTCACCAGTTCTGCCAGGTGCTGTTGAGAGGTCACATACAGTGAGGTCTCATAAGCGTCCATTTTGTCCGTTACATTTAGATACAAGGAAGCCAGCATTGGCCTTGGAGAGAGAGAAGGAGTGGGAGAGAGCGTGTGTGTGTTGTATAGCGGGATAGGTTGCAAAGTAATTGAGAGACAAGGAAATGGAGAAGCAATTGTAGACAGGTCTTTCAGAAGTCTTGGCAGTAAAAGGCGGGAGCTACAGGTGCTTTTCTAAATAAACCAGATGTTTAAAAATCAGCTCTAGTAATTTACACTTCATAAAATCACAGGGGTAAACTGGAACATCAGACATATAAAATGAAAAGCAGATGAAAGTGTATGAGTGTGGGTACTGGACAAATGTGCTTTTTTCGAAGCACCAGTGAATTCCTCACTTGCCCCAGATGACCATTTGAATCTAGCTTCCAGATCAGCACATTGTGTGCTGAGATGTACCTCGCGTGCGAGAGTGCAGAGGCCTGTGGTGCCCAGGGAAGAACAGGGGCCTCACAGACCAGAGCACAAATCCCAGCTCAACCACTTAACCTCCCTGAGCCTGTTTCCTGCTCTGAAAAATAGAGATAATGACCTATCTTCCAGCGCTGTTGTAAGAATCAAAGGGCATAAATAGCCAAAATTTTGTCATGGTGGCTGGTGCTTAATAGGTAACAAGAGTGGGCTGTTGTAATCTGGGCATCAGTGACTCTTAACTATTAGTGGTTGTCACCCGCACACCAGCCCCAGGTCCCACTCCACATCCTTGCGGGGAGAGTGGTTCGGCTAGTCCATTGTGCATCTTTTCCCTGTTCGTGTTGAACCATGAATTCTGGCCTTCAGTGTGTCAAAAAGGCCTGAACTCTGATTGCAGTAATTTTGCCCTTAAATGCTTTAAAGGGATGTGTCTTACAGGAAGTACCTGAAGATACAAGAGAAACAAACGTAGCAGGGAACACTGGCCAGCTTACTAGACTAGGGGAGCTTGTGGGTGTTCCCAGTAGCTGCAGCTGCTGTGAGAGACTGGTTAGAAGACACTCTCCATCTCTTTGCCAGCTTGGCTCATGGAACCCATAGGAGTGAAATAATAATATAAAAGCTCGCATTTGTTGAACACTTACTGCATGCCAGTTGGCTTTTATTTGAATCATTACAATAACCTTTGAGGTTAATACTAATAGTAACCTCATTTTATAGGTAAGGAACCTTAGTCTTAGAGAAGCCCCACCTTTATAAATGAGGACACCAGATCCCAGAGAGCTTAAATAACTGGCCTGTGGTCCTACAGGTAAGAAATGATAGAGCTGGGATTTGAACCTCGATGAACTCACTCCAGAGCTGTGAGACTTTAGGATGACAGATAAGTCAAAAGGTGTCAAAGAGACTCCTAAAGTCATGGTGCAGTGCATCTTGCACAGCTAGCACCCGGCCTGCTAGAGCAAGTGCAGCCTTCGGAGGCAGGGCAGCCTGAGATTGCCACTTACTCTGCGTTCTTGGACGTGTGGCCATGCCTGATTTTCTTCATCTATAAGAGAATAATGATACTGGCTTCCACAGGATCATTATGAGGGCCAGTCAAAATTTTATGAAGTTCACGGCCTATACTAGGCACTTGGTAAATAGCTACTTTTTATTGTAGGTATTATGGTTGTGGTATAATTGGTTCATAGATGGGAAAAGCTGAGGATCAGAAAAGGAAAGGGATTTAGCCAGGGTCACATGAAGGCAGAGTCAGGAGTCCAGCCCCATATCTTGACTCCTGCCCCATGCTCTCTCCGCCAGACCGTGGGAAGAAAGGCCACTTTGTCATTGGAGCATCCCTGGTGGTGAGACAGGGTCTCTGTGAACCTCATGGTTTAGATTAAGTTTCATAGCAGGCCTTCTCATTAATTACTGTTATTGCAAGCCCGAGGAGTGTGCCACCTTCCCAGAGATCTCAGCGAAGGGCATCCTTGATGAGGCCACTTAGCACAGTCAAGTGGGAGAGACAGTTACATTAGATGTCACCTCTTTGTTCTGTCAGTGTTTTATATACTGAACAGACAGCTATTCTGGACCAGGCTCAATGCTGGGAATGAGGGTTCAGAGGGAAGCGAGGAGGTTCCCAGCCCCAAGGAACACACAGGCACCCATGTGCCCCCTGAGCATTGAGGCTTCAGGGGTTCTTACCAGGGCCACTCACCTGACCTCATCCCACCCATCCATCCTTAGAAGGGCATTTGCGCATGCTATCAAAAGCAGCAGCCCCCAGCACCCTTCTTACTGGACAACTAAGCATCTTGCCTTTGATGTGTGTTGCAGCCGGGAAGGGCTATCCCTGCAAGACGTGTAAGATAATGCTGAACTCCATAGAACAGTACCAAGCGCACGTCAGCGGCTTCAAACACAAGAACCAGTGAGTAATCATACTTCGAAATTCGAGAGTCTGCAGCAGGAGCCAGGGCTTCTGGTTTAGAACAAAGCCCCATACTCCCTGGCTGAAATGGAATCCTGGCAGTCTTCTCCGTCAACAGCTCAATCACTTAGCAGAAAGCAGTGTCTCCTCTAAGTTCTTCTCCCATCACCGTCTCCCCAGCCTTTAGACCTGCAAGGCTGAAGGTTTTAGTAGAGGAACATAAACGATTTCCTTGGTGGTCTCCTAAGAGTACTTAGATTTTCTGGCTGTTAGCAATCTAACTACAGAAACTTTACCCCCAGTGGACTGAGTACCCTAGTCTTCAAGGCCAGCAATTCTGTGGCAAGAGCTCCCTCTACAGGTTATTACCGAATATGACCAGATTGTTTTATTGATCAAATACTTACTGAACACCCTCTGGCCAAGACAGACCCAGTCCCTACTCTCATAACGTTACATTCTGATGGGAGGAGACAAACAATAAGTATGTAAACAACCAGTAATTACAAATTGTGATAAGTGCTTTGAAAGGAAGAGATGAACAAAGTCATCTGTTCATGATAATCTTGAAAATGACTGACATTCTTTGAGCTCCTGGTCTGTTGCAGGCCGTATACCAAGCAGATTCTCTCAGGTGATCCTCATAACAATCCTGGGAATAAGGGATTGTTATTCTAATATTACAGATATAGGCAACCACCATTCAAAGTGGTATTGTGAGAAATAAAATAAAAAACAAAGTGGTATTATGAGGCAGAGCCGTAGTTCACACTGAGGCTCGTCTGACTCAGCATGCTCCTCCAGGGTGTCCTGCTGACGAGGTTGTGGCGCCATGTGATATGAACAGGTGAGGGCCCATGCAGTTCTTTCCCTTCCTCTCAGAAGGGAACTGTGTGGTGTGGACAGTGTGCCACAGCATAACCTTCTGAGATTGGTTATCCCCATTTTACAGGTGAGGAAAGTTTCAGGCCAGCTGAAATGATTGCTTTGACTTTGGTGATTGGTTCTGCGTTGCTTACAGAGCCGAATGAATGAAAGGTGGTAGAAATACAGAGTGTTGAGGTCAGAACTTCCTTGGTCCTCTCAGCTCTGCCTGACGTCTCCTCTCCCACCCTGCGGCGGATCTTCCACTTTATTGGTTGACATGTGTTTAATTGGGAGAACTCTGGAGGCTCCTCTTAGATGTGGACTTGAGACAAGCCCTGGCGGCCCAGCCTGGTCCCCCTCCTGCTCCAGCAGACCTCCCTTGTAGCATGACTGGTGGCAACTTGGCAGCCACCTTGGAGCCAGCCAGAGCCCTGCCCTGGGGCTCTCTGACTTGAAAATGCTGGTGTTGTTTACTGTTTTCTTTCTACACTTTCCAGCTGTGTGACCTTAGGTGAGTCAGTAAACCTCACTGAGCTTCCAGTTCCTTTCTGTAAGATTATAGTACAATTTGTTGAACACCTAATTCAGTCTCATGGAATTTGCAACAGTGGCTCTGAATTAGGACCTCCTCCCCTTTACAACCCAAGGAAATCTAATGTCAAGTAGATTGAGTGACCTGCCCCAGATTACATGGTTACTGGGAGTTAAACCCGGGATTCAAACCTCTTTGTCTCCAAAGCCTGTTCGTTTTGCTCTGCCGCTTCCAAGTGGTGCTCGTTAATGGGACAATGTGATAGTTAGAGATAATGTATGTGGGGTTGTAGTACTGATAAAGGGAGCTGTTAGAGATAAGCTTTCATTCATTCAGCAAATGTACACTGACTACCTTTTATGAGCCAAGTCCTGCTTTGAACGTGGGGCTACCATAGGAACCAAGACCAGTGCTGTTCCCTGATCCTCTGGATCCCCCTCTGGTGGTAGAAGCAGAGCCTAAACAAATCCATAAACAAATAGGACACTATCAGGTGGTGCCGGGTGAGACAGGGAGAGGAGAGCCACTTAACATTCCATGTGAGGGCGAGAATGGTCATTCTGTGCCATCCAGGTCATGCAGGGCCCTGCAGGCAGAGTAGATGGTTTGGTATAGAGGAAAGATATAGACTGCAGTCCTACTGTGGGCAGGTCACTTATACTTTCTGAACTTTAGTTTCCTCATATGTAAAATGGGTGTGCTAGCCCCACCCTTGCAGAATTGACATGAGGATGAGATGGAATACTGGAACCAAACACCCAGCCCTGTGCCCTGTACGTGGCGGCCCTCAGCGAAGGAGAGCTGCCCTGCTTACTGCTCCAAGGGCCTGGAAGAGCTGTACTACCATCAGAATAAGCTACGTGGAGGACCATCACTACCGCCACGAGCTAACCCTGTGCCTTTATTCCTTCTCAAATTACAGGTCACCAAAAACAATGGCATCACCTCTGGGCCAGATTCCTGTGCAAAGGCAGCCCATTCAGAAAGACTCAACCACCTTGGAAGGCTAAAGGTGTTTCTGTACAGCACCCCAGGTTGAACCAGCCATGAGCCAGCTTCCTGTAACTATGGTCAGCCCTTGGCTCTTTCTTCCTCCTTTCTTACACCTGGAGAATACGTAGGCCTGAGGCAGGAGTGGACCACAGACAGCCTCTGACTGGTCCAGGCAAATCCGCCCCTGCCCCTCCCCTTTGGAATGGGCCCTGAAGGTCAGGGTAAGGCTAGAAGGGATCTTGACAGGACGTGGGTTGTAGTTTGGAGTTTGGCCTTTCCCGGTCCCCAGCCCTTCTGGGCCATATGTCATGAGGCCCCAGGCCTATCTTTTCCTCTGCAAGTCAGTTTTGGACCAGTCTCTGCAGCTAAAGAGCTGAGCTCTCCCTGGGCTCTAGGTGTCTCCAGTGAAACCTGGAGCTTCCATGCCAGACCTTGGCCTGGGCAGGAGAGGGCAGATGGAAGCGGCTGCCACACGGAAGCTTAGAGTTAATGTTACACTCCCCCTCCCCCAAAAAAGTTTCCTTTTGCTGAGCCTGGGATCAGATGCTGGCCAGTTACACAGATTTCTGCCCACCGTGAAGTCTCCACCTGGAGCAGTTACACGGTCCTGGCCGAGCATTGCTGTCCCCCTCGCCCTCGTCCTCCACAGTTCCTGAATGGTGCTAAGGATCTGCAGCAACTGGGGACACACTAGAGCTGACGGAGGCCTCAGTACCCAGTGGGATCATCAGAAGCTCCAGTAGGGGCCTTTTCCCTCCTCCATCAGAGGTGCTCTGACCCAGGGTCATATGAGGAAGTCTCCACCTGCAAATTTCCTTGATGGTTCTGTGCCCTTAAAGGCAACCTGCCTCCTGCCAGCCAGCTTAGAGGTTAGTTGCTGCCCTTCGGCCCTACTGGCCCTCTCCTTCCCCTTGTGCAGCAGACCACCTGCCCAGGTTGCTATGGTGCTAGTCCTCCCCCATCATCCACCAGGAGATTCTGGGTACCAAGGGGCAGGATGGGTCCCCAGGAGAAGAAGAGAGCTAGTGTAAGTTTCTGCGGTGAGTGAGGAAACAGACGTTTCCCTGACCCCACACCTAGATTTCTCTAGCACGGCTATGTTTTACGGCCTGGGACGTCCCTGGGAGTGGACTTTACCTCGGAGCTTTCAAACAGGAATTCCAGGGAGGGTCACCATCTGAGGTTCCTCTTCACTGGGGCAAAGAAGCCCCCAGCTGCTCTCGTGGCCTCCTCCCCACGCTCCCTCTCCCTTGGCCTGTGAATGCCTTTACGTATTGTGTGTGGATATGTGTGTGTGCACTCATGCTCTCTCTTGATCACTGAAGCACCTAAATAAAGAATTTCTCCCATGAGCCAGATTGCAACTGAACAGACCTGGGATTTGGATCTAGTGTGTGTGTCTTTACCTCTCACCCTCACCCCAGACTTCCAGCACCCTAAGTACTGACTTTGGGAGTTGAGACAGAGACAGACATCAAATTGCTTGCCAACTCTGTAGGCGTCTTCCAGGTGCCTTGAATCAGTCCAAGCTCCTCTGCTCACCCAGCCCCTCTGTCATGGAGGGCCTCATGGAGTCTTTAGAAAGTTCAAGCTGGGAATCTACTTTGTTTGCGAGTATGATGTGGCTACTCTGTGGAGAAGGAACGCAGGGGAGCAGGAAAGGAGACATCCAGCGAGGCAAGGATGAAAGCTGTCCGCAGTATGGCCCTCTCCGGGCTAGCGCCCTCAGGGCAGGGGCCTGGCCTCATCCATCTCCACTTCCCTAATGTACAGAGTTGTATGTCCTGCAGTGTTTGTTGAATGAATGATTGAGGATGCATAAAGAAAGATGGCCTCTTCCCGCTCAGCCCTTACATAGCAGTAGGTTTGCTCCCTGGGGCTTATTATAGGCCTGGTGATTTTTGGAAGAATCTTTTCCATGACCCAGAAATGAGCTGGGAAAGGAGTGTACGTGGTGGCATCAGGAGCCCTCTGTCCAACCTTTGTTTCAGACAGCGAGATCTGGGGAATGTGCCCAGGCAGCCTCAGCTCCCATTCTTCACTCAGCAAACTGTCTTGGGCACCTGCTCTTTTCCACCTGGGAAAGGCCATACACAGCTCTCAGCTTTCAAAGCCTAGACTGCCTCTCAATTTTCCCAGAGTCCTTCTACCCCACCTAAGGTGTCAGAATCAGCCCCACCTATCAGGCAAAGGAGTGAAGGGCAGAGAGGTGAGTGGGCTGCCATACTATGAGCCCTTGGCCTGCGGGACCTCTTAGTCTGGATTCAGGAGTCCCTACCAGCTGTGTGCCCATCCCTGTTGGTGTGGGGATGCAGGCATGAACACTGTTTTGCCCCTGGGGAGCTCACACACTGTTAAAGATCATTATGGCCATGATCAGAGGGTTACGCAGGGTGCTGTGGGAACGCATAAGATGTAGGCACTAACTCACCCGGGGGCAGGAAGAAGCTGGAAAAACTGGGAAACTAATGTTTGATCTGTGTCACAACCTTTTGAGCTGGGTGATGGTACTCCATCTTATGGGGAAGGAACAAGGCTTAAAGGGGTATAGTGATTTGCCCAAGGTCTTGCTGCTACAAAGCAGCAAAGTAGAGAGTAGAATCTGGTTCTCTGGATTCCAAGTCAAGAACCCTTTATACAGAGGGACAGGAGTCCATTCCACGTGACCTCTGGGCTTGCCATGCTCATCTTCTGGCAGGGCCATGGCCTCAGAGAGCAGGTAGCCACTCGGCCGGGGCAGCAACAGCACCCACAAAACAGACTGAACAAAGCTCAATGGTTATTGTCTGTTCCAGGCACCCCCATACCTCTCGTAATTTTACCTAAGATTCCTGGCATATTAGACTAGTTATAACTATAAGAAACTTAAGTGGTTATCTAAAAAAGAAAATTTACTGATTCACCTAATGAAAAATCCTTGTACGAGGATGGCTGGATTCAGGTTCTGATGCAGTGCCATCAGGAAGAGTTTAATCTCACTCTGCTGTCCTGTCCCCTGTCCTCTTTCCCTGGCCGACTTTCTCCAGAAGGTAGTAAGACGGCCCCTGGCAGCTGCAGGTTTGTATCCTGATAGACTGGCCACTGCGTCTTTTTCTTGGTTCGAACAAAAAATTCTGGGATTGACTCCTTAGCCCCTTGGATCTGTTTCCACCCCTAAGCCAGTTGCTGCGGCTAGAGGAGATGGTGCTCTGCTTTGGGGCTCCACCTAAAACACATGGACTGAAAAGGAGAGACGTGCACGCCTAAAAGAAAAAAGTTTGGCTCTCCTTTCATAGTTTGGTTGAAGAATGGATGTGGGTGGGCAAAAATAACTCAGCCATACCCAGAGACTGTCTTTATCTGACCATCTCTTCTTTTTTTTTTTTAACTTTTTGAGATACAGCATGCATTTAGTAATGTGAGCCAATTTTTAGCATACAGTTTGATGAGTATAATGTCTACTTCTGGGCAATCACCCTCCCGGTCAAGATACAAAACATGGCCAGTTTCCCCAAAAAGTCCCCTTGTTGCCCTCCTAGTCAGTAACCCACAGAAGTGAACACTATCTTGACTTCACAGATTGGTTTCGCTTGCTCTTGAATTTTATGAAAAGGGACTCACACATACATCCACTTTTGCTCAATATTACGTCTGTGAGATTCATCCATGTTACTGTGTGTATCAGAAGTCCATATTTTTTAATGTTTTTTTTTCATGCTGTGTAGTAGTCCATTGTGTGAATAAACCACAGTTTGGCCATTCTGTTGTTAATGGACAACTGGGTTGTTTCTGGTTTTGAACTATTATAAATAAAGCTATTCTAAAAAAATTTCCTATGTGTCACCTGGTGCACGTTTGCCTGCATATACCCAGGAGTGGAATTGTTGCACCGCAGGGTAGATGCATGTTTAGCTTGACTACACACTGCCAAGCAGTTTCCAAAGGGGTCTACCAGCTTACATTCCCACCGGCCACGTGGGAGCGTTCCAGCTGCTCCATGTCGTTGTCAGCACCTGGTATTGTTGGCCTTTCTAATTTTGACCATTCTGGTGGCGCCGAGGAAGTTGAACCCAAGGATCCTCTCTTCCTATCAGGGCCCCTCTCACTCGGAGCACCCCTGACATCAGGTTTGACTTTCTCCAGCCTGGAATGGTCTCCAGTGTCGGTGCCCTGGACCCACAACACACAATCCAGCAGATAAACATCGCAGCCCATGGCTTTTGTGGCCAAGGAGGTTCTCACAGGAGAGGCGTCAGCTCTGGAGAGGCAGGCAAAGAACTCAAGCACTGCAATCGGGCAGCCAGGGCTATGTGGTCTTGGTTAGTTGCTCTGTCCCTCAGGGTGAAATATTAGTACCTCCCTTAGAGGGTTATTGTGGGAATTAAAAGAATCGATACACAGGAAGCAATTACAGTGACTGACACGTGAGAGGTGCTGTGTAAACAATGACTACTGCTTGTATTACTGGCCTGGAGTAAGCTCTGGTTCTCCCCATGGAGGGGAGTCTACAGGCAGATGGCATCTGGCTCAGCCCCCTGTGTTAAGACTCAGTGATTTAAGAGGGGAGGGTACAGCTCAAGTGGTAGAGCACATGCTTAGCATGCATGAGGTCCTGGGTTCAATACCCAGTACCTCTTCTAAAAAAAAAAATAACTACTTCCCACCCACCCCTCAAAATAAAATAAAAGCCATATTTCCACCTACTTAAAAAAAATAAAAAGACTCAGTGATTTATGAAATACCAGAGCCTAATTCAATCTGATTGGGGTGGGGGTGAGGGGAGGAAATGTGTTGGCCAAAGGTGGATCTTCCCTGGGCTCCAGCACGACAAGAAGTCTCCTTCCACTGCTACAGAGCCTGGGCCCACCCCAGGCTCCCCAGGCTTTGCAGTCGATGACACAAGGAGAGGATGAAATGGATTCGTGCGTGTAAAGCTCTTAGCCCAGAGCTGGATGCAAATCAAGTGCTGGCATGTGACAGCCCCTTAGTACCGACCGGAAACTGTGTCTGTACCCATGTAGCTGCCAGGAGGCATGCCGTGGAGGCCATTGGTCTAGGATCCTGGGTCCCTGGGCGTTGGCCTGAGTCCTGCCACCAGCTTCATGGACCCGAGGCCTTGAAGTTTTCTGTGAAGTAGAAATTAGAAGAAGTCAAAGTCCCCAGCCAGAGTCCTGAAAAGGTAGTGATGGGCAGTTAGAGGCTCGTCCCAAAAATGGTAAAGAAGAAAGCCCTTCCCTCACAGGTGAGCCGTTCCAGCCCCTAACCAGGCCTCTGACAGGCAGTCCACGGTGTCAAATACAACAGGAAAAACAATTTCTCCCTCTCACCATCTGTCCGCCCAGCAACCTCACCTGCCCTGCGCTGTGCCAAGCCCGCACCACAGAGAGGGCAGAGCCGGCCCCGTGCCGGCTCTCCGGGGCTGGCTGCCCTCCGCAAACGCTGTGCCAGCTGTCCCGGAGCCTCAAAACCCGGAAGAAACCTGACGGTTCTGTAAGTGGGTCAACTCCATAGCGCAGTGGCCCCGCCGGCCACTAGGTGGAGGAAGCTCCTTTTCTGCAGGGCGAAGTCAGCCAGGCCCCGGACCTTCCGGTTTGATTTCCTTGTTTGTTTTGGTGGGGAAGGTAATTAGGTTTATTTATTTGTTTTTAATGAAGGTACTGGGGATTGAACCCAGGACCTCACGCATGCTAGGCATGCACTCTACCACTGGGATATATCCTACCCCCCGTTTGATTTAATGCCAAAGAGAATAGGCTGACTTTTCCTGAGCCTCTGTATTTCATATTTCATTTAGCCCTCAAAACCACTTGACAAGGCTCAGTTGCACAGGAGAAACTCAGAGGCAAAATCTTGCAACGCTTACACAACGAAACATAGCCATAAAGAGATATGACCCCATGCTCTCAAGTCTTCGCTTGCCTCACCAGGCATCCCTCTGGGGGACAAATCTGAGGGCTGTAATTTAGTCACCTGCCTGGGAGCACACCTGGTGTCCAGCCTGCTTATCAGCCTTTCTTTCACTCTCTTCCCATGGGTAATATCTCTGTTCCATTTTCAGACCCTGTGGCTCAGAGAGACTGACCCCACTCCCTGGTTCCAGTAGTGACCCTGTGGCCCAGATAAGGGCAATCAGAATCATAAGTCTGGAGCTGTTAGTAGCCGTCTTTGCCCACACATAAGGACAGCTCTAACTTCCCTTATCAACCTGGAGATCTCTCTTCATCCTGAGAAAGTCACTGACCCCAAGGCTGAGTTGGCTGCCCTCCTGTGCTCCCAGGTGCCCTGAGCCCCCTCTGGCATTACTCTTTATATTCTGTGTAATGATCTGTTGAATTCCCTGTCTCCTCTTTAGACTAGAAACTCTTTGAGGGCAGGGACTGGATCTTCTTCATCACCCGGTCCCTGGT